TGCGTTCCCTACTCCTATGTGTTCGAAGATGTGTAAGAAGGGCCCAATGCACACCTGTATTGCATTAAAATCATGAATGTATTCACTATTCAATTTCATTACAAAATGTTCATGGTTCTGTTAACAAGTTGGTGTGATGTCCGTGTGTGATAGGGTCGAATGAAAGGGATATTTCCGAATACTTTGTGGGATATTTCTTAATCCTTTAAATGTTTAGGAGGGATAGTTCCAATAATTATTTGACTTGTGCTGTTTTTTCGGCTAATTTCATTTACAAGATTGGTAAATTGTACGGTCACCTAGACATAAAATGAAGAAATACGGTGATCTGGTATATAGTCTTTGATGTCATTTATGCCCAAACAAACAACAAACGAGAAAGACGAAATATCTGCTAATTGTTGAACAAAATGGGTATGATCCGAAATGCGTGAACCACAAACAACGTGCGGAACGACATTAACATTAGTGACAGATACATCAACAAATCGTGAATCAGCAAGGAATAAAACAGTCATTCTATGTGTCAGTGTCCCGCCATAACCAAGTGGATCGCCATGATTAAACTGAAAGTCACCCAAAAAATTCGAAATAAAACGATTTCAGACAATCATACAAATACACATCGACTAAAATCACTCACACCATCTTCTGTGCGTTTTAAACCATTATGATTCTCCACCATGTTAGCGCTATCTGCATCTGAGAGGAAATTTATCTCTGTTATTTCTGTTTGCTGTCCATTTGCAGACTGAGGCCCTCGAACAATGACTGTGATCGTGGGTAGTCAACCATTTGCATCGCTTCACGGGTTTATCAGTCAGACTTAGCCAGTGGTTAGTGAAGGAAAATACTGAAAAAAGAAGAAAAAAATCAATCTGACGTGTCATAACAGCTGTGAAATGATACATAATATTTCCAACTTTGTGTGACTGACATATGCATTTTTTCATTAACTGTTTTGTATGGAACATACTTTAATGTTGATCATCCAAACACTTTACACAGAATGCACAGAACAAGCGTTTTATTAGTACTATATACATAACATCCTTCCTTTTTTTTTTTTATAAAAGCTGAACAAGACTGACTAGAATTACTTTTAACAGGAAATCAAGTATTAGTAATAACCTTGTTCTCAAATAAACCTTAAGTATTTTTTTTTCTTTTTTTAGACTAATGCAAAAAATAACTTGAGTCCATGAAAACAAATTTCTTTCTCTGATATACCTTATCACAGAAATTCTGAAACATTTCTTAATATTTTAACCTTTTTTTTTTTTTTTTTTTTATAAAATTCCTGATTTAACTTTCAAATTTTAACTCAAACTTTAGAGCAAAAGTCTTTAAAGCGACTAGGTGTCTTGACCTCTCTTCCACAACGGGTGTCCATAGGTGGTTCCTTGGGTTGTGGTGGTAGTGGTGACAACGGTTCTAGTACCACATGTGGTTCCACTTCCTGTGAAGCTAATGAAGGATTCCACTTCCTGTGAAGCCAATGAAGGATTCCACTTCCTGTGAAGCCAATGAAGAATCCGATGGCATATCCAGAGAATCTGGTAACTGCACCGAGTGTTTTGGCTCAAAATTTGCAAGTGTCCGTTTGATATAAAGACGGTTACGACGATAACGACGACCATTGGTAGCTTTTACGACATATCACCTCTGACTAGAGTGTTTGTTTTGAATTTCACACTAAGGGGTTCCAACTCTCGTCCTGCGTGTTTATCGTAATTATGTTTGGCCTAAACCTGTCGGTTTTTCATGCGAAGCTTGAGTTCCTTTTTGTTTGTGGAGGCTTGCTCCAACAACGGCGTAGAGGTTGGTAAGTCAGATTTTAGCCTACGCCCCAGAAACATTTGAGCGGGAGACATTTCCAACCCGTCAATAGGCGTGTTTCTGTAATCGAGCAGTGCGTGAAATGGATCTTTAGCATTGCGGATCAAGTTTTTTTACTGTCTGGAGGGTCCGTTCCGCTTGACCATTTGACTGCGGAAAACGAGGACTGGACGTTACATACCCTAATCCATACTCGTGACTGAATCGTTTGAATTCTTCAGATGAAAACCATGGTCCGTTGTCCGTGAAGACACGGTGAGGTATTCCATACCGTGCCATTTGACCTTTCAGATAGGAAATAGCTTTACTACTACCTAAATTGTCCAGTTTGGCTAACTCTGACTTTGTCAACTAGTAATAGTTTCCTTTGAACACGAATAGATCAGCTGATATTACCGACCACGGTCTGTCAGGTTGATCTATTTCTACGAGCGGTTCTTTCGGATTTCCTCATGCGGTTTCCGCACACACAGTACATCTCTTGGGAGTATTCTCAATATCGGTTGCCAATGTAGGATATCACTGGCCAAGGATTTCGATATCATGATCCCTAGATGAGATTTTGTACACTTTTCAACATTTCTGGACGCATAGATTTCAGTATTATCAGTTTATGGTTCTTGTAAAACAAACCATCTGTAATATCTTGTTTGCTACCCACGTGGAACAATCAACTCATAAGAAATGGCGTCCATGTGATACAACTACTTTTATTAACCTCCACGACAGAAGAGATAACGCTCAGGGTTATACTTAATACCCTACAGTAACACGTACCGGATTTACCCATATATCACACTCCTCCCTCTTGAAAATGTCAAGTTCAATATTCAAATTACACAAAATCTCTGTTGATTATTGTTAACCAGTCTTTGGTCTTCTGAACTGAAAGAAACGATAATTCAACATTCACTGCAGATACTGTAATTAAAAGAGATCTCAATTACCAACACTTATCACTGTCAATGATATGGCTAATAGCCAACAAACAAATTCAACGTTTGTGGGGGCTGACGGTTCCTAGGTGGATTACGACGAACGACCGGACTAGTGCTCCACGCAACGGGTGTCTGAAGGTCACTCGTCTACGATTCCAGCTGAGGAGTTGGAATCGGTGCTACGACTGCTGAGGCGTCAGGTACAGAGATCGGCACCTTAAGTTTTCAGGTTCCTTAAACGGTATTGGAGAACGCGAGAACGTCTCTGGTAGTACCACGGGTGTATCCACTTGCGACTGGTTTGAACCCGAATTAGACATCACGGGTAAATCGTCAAATAACGGTTCCTCCCCTGACGATAAGATATGATCAACATAGGTGTAGCGAATGTTTGGTCCTACCCGTACGAGATAAGTAAGAGGACCTAGCTATCTCACTATCGTACCCGGCATCCACTTTTCCTGACCATCCCTGAAATTCCTTACCCGCACTGTCTGTTTCGGTGAGAATGTTCGAAACCGAACTCGACCTTTGCCATGTCGTCGTTTTTGCTCAGCTTGCTTCCGCTGAACGCGACTTCCAGTGTCAGGTTTCAACAACGAGAGAGGTGTGCGTAGCTGACGCTGAAGAAATAATTCAGCTGGAGATACACCAGTAACAGTATGTGGAGTAGATCGATACTTCAGTAAGAAGTTACTGAGCCTATGCTGAATTGTGTATTGTTCATCACCATCAAAAACCTGCCTTTGAAGTGTTTGTTTCAAGATCTGGACTGAGCGTTCCGCTGCTCCATTTGAAGCTGGGTGATAGGGCGTTACTAGAGTATGCTTGACCCCGTTCCGTTTCATGAACTGTTCGAACTCAGTTGAGGTAAACTGGGGGCCATTATCAGAAACAACCTCTTCAGGTAGGCCATAAGAACTGAAGAGTGAACGAAGGACTTCGATAGTCCTCTCAGAAGTAGTGATTGTCATATGAGTCACCTCAACCCACTTAGAGTGACTGTCCACAACCACAAGAAAATATCTCTTGTCTTTCTCCGCAAAGTCTATGTGGACACGTTGCCACACACGAGTAGGCCATGACCAGGAGTGAAGGGGTGCCACCGGGGGCATTTTTCTCGTAGCCTGACATGCATTACAGGCACTGACCACTGTTTCGATGTCTTTATCCAGTCCAGGCCACCACAGATAACTCCGGGCCAGTTGGGCCAGAATACGCTCTCGATAGGCTGGTGGGATGATTACGCGCAAACCTCACAGCACACAACCCTACAGTAGACAGTTAATTCTTGCGCTGATGAAATGGTTGCGGGTCGCAATCTGACACATAATTAGGCCAACCTCGCAGTGTATAGTCAAGAACCTTCGACAGCACTACATCACGTCTCGTCCCCTTCGCAATGTCCTCAGATGTCACTGGTAAGTCATCCAACTGAGTGAAGTGGTAGACCTCCAATTCCTCCGACTTCCCGTCACTTTTGACAGGCATTGGCATAATGTTCGGCCCTCCGATACTCAATATCGTATTGATACGCGGACAATTTAAGCGCCCATCGCTGCATCCTTGCGGCAGCTAAAGTCGGGACGCCGTTCTTGGGGCCTAAGATTGTAACTAACGGCTGGTGATCCGTCACAAGGGTGAACTGACGCCCATACAAATACTTGTGAAACTTCCGGACACCAAACACCAGACCTAACGCTTCCTTCTCCACCTGAGCGTAATTCTTTTCACTCGCCGATAGAGTTCGTGACGCGTATGCAATGGGACGCTCCTCTCCGTTGTCACAAATGTGGGAGATCACAGCTCTGACCCCATAAGCAGATGCATCGCACGCTAACCGTAGCGGCTTGTTCATGTCGTAATGAACCAACACGCGATCACTTGACAACTGGTCCTTACACGACCGAAACGCGCACACGTACTGTAAGGTCCAGTTCCAGGACTTATCCTGTCGCAAAAGCTCGTGCAAAGGCTGCAACTTGGTCGACAGATTCGGCATATACTTACCATATAATAGTTCAAAAGTCCTAAAAATGATTTCAGTTCAGACACAATTTTCGGACTTGGCGCGTTCTTGATCGCTTCGATTTTCGCCTCAGTGGGATGGATTCCCTCGCGATCCACCATATGACCCATATACTCGAGGGTGTCCTCCATGAACTTACACTTGTCCTCGCGTAGACGGACGTGGTGCTCCTCGAGTCTGCGCAACACTTCACCTTAGATCTTGATGTGTTCACTGTCGCTTGGTGCTGTAACCAGGATATCGTCGATACAACACATAGTATGCGGTACTCCCTGCAATATCTGATCCATGACTGACTGAAAGATAGCGGGGGCCGATGCAACACCGAACGGTAACCGATGATACCTGAATAATCCCAGATGTGTGGTTATGGTTAAATACTTCTCTGAGTCCTCGTCTAATGTTAACTGCTGGTACGCCTGCGATAAATTCAACTTCGTAAACTTCTGACCACCGGTCAGCTGTGCAAACATGTCTTCCACATTCGGAAGTGGATACTGTTGTTCATCCAAGCACTTGTTTACAGTCACTTTGAAGTCGCCACTAAGGCGTATTGACTTATCGGCCTTTGGCACAATGACAACTGGAGTCGCCCAATCGCTTTGTTCGACTCGCGACACAATGCCTTCATTTTCAAGTCTATGAAGCTCCTTCTCTAAGGCTTCCTTCAGGGAAAAAGGCACCGCCCGGGCCTTACAGAAAATGGGCTGTACATCCGACTGAACCTTTACTTGAGCCTTGAATTTCTGTATCGTTCCCAGACCTTTCTGGAACAGCTTGTGATGCTTGACCAACATTTCCTTGACTGACGTATCAATGCGCTGCGACTGCACTGACTGGGTCACAGTAAATATACTAGGCCAATCGAGCTTGATGTGGCTTAGCCAGTTCCGACCCAACAACGATGGACGGTTGCCACATGCGACGCGCAACAACAAGTTATGGCTCTGATTTCCGTATGTCACCGGAACGGTTACCTCACCGCGTAATGGCACGTTCACGCCACCATAGTCTTTCAGCTTGACCGTGGGCTTTTGCAAGGACAATTGCAAGAGATGATCAGTGTACATCTTCTCCGAGCAAATAGTGACCGCGGCTCCTGTGTCAATTTCCATCTGAACTGGACAACCGTTCAAACCGAGGTTCACCTTATAGCCCTTAGCCACACTAGCGACATTATACAGGCCATATAAGAACTCATCATTCTCGAGTTCCTGCGCCTCCAGATACTTAGTCTTACTAATGTTAGTACCGCTTACAGGCCCTTTTGACCTTTTGGTTTACATTTTTTCCAATATGTCCCTCTTTCTGACACACATAACACTGCGCATGCAAATACTTACAGTCTGCTGGTGTATGTTTTCCACCACCGCTAAAAATACCTTTTACCTGAGTCACTGTTGGTTCCCTCTGCCTTGTCCGAGTGTGATCTTTCAGTACCCCAGTACTTTGATTTCCGAGGCTTGTACTTCTGACCTTTGTTCACAACATTGACTGACCCAATGACCGGCTGCGACATTACCTCAGTGTCCTTTGTCGCCATCTCCATGGCTAACGCGATTTCATTAGCCCTGGCTAGGTCCAAGTCTTTCTCGGCCAACAGTTTCTTTTGTATGTCCTCACTCCGTAATCCGCATACTAGTCTGTCCCTCAAGGCCTGATTAAGGACGTCCCCGAACTCACAATACTTTGCCAACTTCTTCAGGCTGACTACATAATCAGAAACTGATTCCTCCTCCCTCTTTTTACGATTGTGAAATTTAAACCGTTCTCCTATCACGAGTGGTTTGGGGGAGTAATGTTTAGTTAGTGCTGCCTTCAACTCCTCATACGATTTGGTACTGGGCAGTTCTGGGGTGAGGATGTTCCTAAGCAAAGCATATGTTTGCGGACCTACTACCGTTAGAAACACAGGGACCCGTTTAACGTCAGCTGTATCATTCGCGGCAAAAAACTGTTCAGTCTCTCAACGTAACAACTGAAATCCTCTTTGCCCTCTGCGAACTCGCCGATACGGCCTATTTTCGCCATGGTGCTTTCGTTCAAAACACAGAGTCGATCTTACCACAAGTTCCGTGCCTCGTCGCTACTGTAATATCATGTTTGCTACCCACGTGGAACAATCAACTCATAAGAAATGGCGTCCATGTGATACAACTACTTTTATTAACCTCCACGACAGAAGAGCTAACGCTCAGGACTATACTAAATACCCTACAGTAACACGTAAGGGATTGACCCATATATCACGCCATCTACACACGATATTTCGTCCCTGAAAAATTCCAATACGGAAGAATTTCTGACATTAGCTCGGACTTGGTGTTTGGCCAGCCTTACAACACTACATCCTGGAGTGTTTGGAGCTCTCTGTCCTCTGATGTCTCTTCCTGTAGTCTACGATACATTTCTGGAGATACGGGAAGGTATGACGTCAATAACGAATTGATCGTCAGGTCGGGGACGATGTCGTCAGTACTTTCTGGCTTAGAGTGTACGCTAAGAACATTTCTTTTCAAGGCTTATAGACGACTTTCAAATCGTACTTCTGCAGAGTCAACAATATTCTCTGTAGTCGAGAGAGAGCCAACATCAACGGTTTTCGGAATATTGACTGTAGTGGTTTGTGATCTCTCCCCACGGTAACTTGGCGACCAACCAAACGCGATAGCTACTGCCTCGTTTTCAATCTAGGCATAATTTTGTTGCGCGGGAGTCATCGCCCTAGACGCGTAAGCTACTGGCTGTCCATCTTGTGTAATCACTGCTCCCAGACCTTTCGAACTCGCGTCAACTGTTAGCGTAAGTTCTTTAGCTGGATCGTGGTAACGCAACACTGGCGCTTTAGTGACTAGTTGTTTGAGTCTCTGGAAACTATTTTCTTGCGCCTGTTCACAGTACCATTCGATGGTTTTCTGTAAAAGCTTCTCTTCAGACATATTGGGCACGAACTTACCCAAATACTGGATGCAACCTAAGAAGGTTTGTAGTTCCTTTTTACATGTAGGTGGTTCCATATCTCGCACAGCATAAACCTTTTCCTCGTCTGACTGGACGTCTTTGTCAGAGAGTACCTGACCTACACGATTCTGCCGATGACCATTACAAGTCTAGCGTCATGTTCCTTAAGATCAGTGCCCCAAATTAGTAGGTCATCAACAATTGACTCGCAGCCTTCGGGACCAGATATCATTTCTGATAGTGCGCGTTGGTACACTTCAGGTGCACTCTTAATGTCAAAGGGAAGTCTGATGAATCGCAACATTCAAGTCACGCGGATCTATGCACAAACGGACATCTGGCTTGGCAACAGAGACCATACTGCTTACCCACGGTGTCGGTTCAGTCTGTTTAATAACGATGCCTTCCGACTCCTTGAGGGTTAAAGGTACTTTCCTGGGGGGGATGGACTACTGGCTTGACACTCTGATCAACCTTTATTTTATGCTGACCTGGTATACACCCGATACATTTAAATACCGGTCCATACTCATTCATAATGTCGTCAGGAATGTTCTCACACTTAGTTTCTGGTGTAGAAACAACACTGTAGATTCTCTCAACTAAACCCATTTCTTTACAGGCTTTCGCTCCAAGAATCGGCTGAACCATCGACGACACAAAATACTTGGTCATACATTTGTCCTTTGTGTTTACACTTTAACGTCACGACACCACTAGGTATAATCTTGTATCCTGAGTAAGAACGCAGAGGAACGCTGGTAGCTTTCATCTTATTTACAGCCTTCACATTCTTGTAACTCATAACGTTACACACAGCTCCAGTATCTAACTGAAAGTTTATCTCGCGACCTCCAACATCTACAGTCTGTGTCCATTCTATCAGGGTGTTGAATTCACAATCATGTACTATCGACCCCACATAGAGTTCATCATCACTGGAATCTTCAGATTTCTGTAGCATGTTTACCGTTTTCTTTTTCAACATGCATTTCATTGCAAAGTGATCTTTTAAATGATATTTCATACACGTTTGACCTAGTGCTGGTCATGTCTTGCTATACCCACATCGTCAATTGTCTTTGTTCTTTCTACTGTCTTCTTAAATGGTTTCTTCTTACCCGATGTGCTCTGTCTGTGCTTCTCGACTGTGATGGAATCAACTTTATTTGTTTTTGGCATTGTAAATGATCACAGACCTCAAGAGATGGTGAAAAACTGCAAAATACAGAATAATACAATGTGTCAAAAATTTAGGAATAAATATAAAATGTGCAGCTTGGAATTTAACATTTTATACTAATCACACTAATCACATCTATTAACTTGGAGTGGTTTCATATACATGCATATAAATATACTATGTAACCCCGTTACCGTAATCGGGGGCAAATAAATTTAGCATCTATGTCAACCTAATCTAAATTGTTAAACTAAATCAACTATTTGGAATTACACTTTGTTGAAAGAAACGAAATTATGATTAATTTTTCCAAGCATGTTATAAAAAATAAACGAGCAGTGTATGACGGACATACCGAATGGATTTGACCTGAAGATCTGTTTTTAAATCTATGTATCAATTATCACATTACAGTGTATTACTAATAAATTGAATTAAACTGGAATCAAATATTTGAGTATAAACTGATATCAGATAGGAATGATACAATAAACTTACACGATAGTTGCCTCAAGATGTTTTGATTATCATGAAGCATGCACGGTGAAACTATTTAACAAAAGAGTGGTAAAAAGGGAGATAACTCTTAATACAAACTGAAAGGGAAGGTAGCAAGACAGCACACTCCCCTCCTGGTACTCGGTATACCACTACACTATGACAAAATTTAGCATCACTGAGCTAAGTAATGTTAATGATGCAAGCATGATAGTTCTAAGATCCTTAATTAGGACGCGACAAGAAGCACAACTTCATGCACTGGCCTTGTGTACTTCACCGTCCTATTACCACTAGCACTTCCAACTTCCTAACGAGACCATCTTCTGATGGGAATACATTAAGACTATGGCCATCGGCCATTCCATACGATGCACATCGGAATCTTTTAGAAGGACGACGTCACCCTGTTTCAAGTTTGGATGCGACGCAACCCATTTTACGCCTTCCTTGATGTCCTTGTAGGTAATCTGTTTTCCACTTCTTCCAAAACCGATCAGCTAAGAATTGCACCATCTTTCACTGAGAGCGGTAAGCATCTTTGATGTCTAGCGTGAACGGACATAACTGAGCAGACTGTGGTTTTTGGGTGAGAAGTTCTCCTGGAGAAAGAACATGGGGATCTTGTGGGTCGGATGACACCTCAACCAGAGGGCGAGAGTTAATGATTGCGGTGACCTCTGCCATCAATGTAGTCAAGATCTCTCGAGTGAGACCTTTACCTTTGACATCCAGGAGCATTGAATCAAGAATACGTCTGGCTGAACCTATCATCCTCTCCCAACTGCCACCCGTGTGAGATGCATTGGGTGGATTGAAGTGCCAAAACAGTCCCATTGTCGAGAAGATGTTTAGAAATCTGTTCGTCTTCCACGTTGATTGCGGATATTCCCAAAGAATCTGTACATCCTTTAAAATGTGTACCTCTGTCAGAGCGAAATACTTTCACCGGACCGCGGATAGCACTAAACCTCCGGAGAGCGTTTATAAAGCATGAGGAAGACATGTACTCTATAATCTCTACATGAACTGCCCTAGTTACAAGGCATGTAAATAGGGCTGCCCAACATTTCTGCTGAGACTGACCTCCTCTTGTACGCCGCGCAGACACGTACCACGGACCAAAAATGTCCACACCAACATAGGTAAAGGGGGGAGAAGGGGTCAGGCGATCGACTGGTAAATCAGCCATGAGTTGAACTTCGGTCTTTCCTCTCAGCTGACGACACCGAACACATTTGAAGATAACTGTCGAGACCAGTCTTTTCGACCCTGTAATCCAGAACCCTCCGGAACGGTTAGCTCCCGCTGTTAAGTGGCGTTCCTGATGGTAAACTCGAGCATGAAAATGTCGCACCAACAACTCAGCGGTATGATGCCTTCCAGGCAAAATAACAGGATTCACTTCAAGATGGTGGAATCCTGACTTGTTTAGACGACCCCCTACTCTTATGATACCTTCCTCGTCTAGGTAGGGAGAAAGAAAAATAATTGGACTATCCTTAGGTAAGGTCTCAGAATTCTTTATCCTCAAAATCTCTCTTGGATAAGCTTCCCGTTGTGTTTCTCGTATGATAACTCTCTTAGCTTTCTCCAGAATGTCAACAGTTTCAAGGCCTTTACCTCCACTACAAGTTTGGGACCAAGCCAGTCTTGAAAGAAGAGTCCCTATAGCACGGACGAGCGAATTCCATATCGAAAATCTGCCAAATCTTTGAGTGCCAAGACGATCTGAATTCGACTTCACGGTCTTGAGAGAAACTACCTTTGGTCTCACTTCCGAATCTTCTTCTGGTGTGACGAGTTCGTATAAGTTGTCTGACTGCTCTACGGAAGATGCAGGGCCTTTGATCCACATACTTTCTGAAAGATTGTCTGCCTCGATACACCTGGTGCCAATGTCTGCTGGGTTCTTATCAGTGGCGACATGTATCCATTGATGTTTACTGACGTTCAGTATTCGGTCAACCCGGTTTCCGACATATACAAAAAATCGACGTACCTTATTGTGGATATAGCCCAGGACTACGTTGCTATCGGTGTGAAACTGAATATTAGCTAGATCCACATCTAACTGTTCACAGATGACTTGTCCCAATTCAGTGACCAAAACTGCCGCGCACAGCTCGAGGCGAGGGATTGTATGTCCGTGACGGGGTGCTACCTTTGACTTCCCCAAGATGAAGGAAAAACTGGCTACTCCCTCTTCGTTGGTAGTACAGAAGTACGCAACGGCAGCAATGGCCTCCTTTGAGGCATCGGTGTATATGTGAACGAAATCAGTCGGATCACAGGACCTGTCTATGAAATACTGTCTGGATGTCTGAATTTCATTGCGTGAGTCCGGGATGTCGTCGCATTCAATGAGTGTAGGAAGGGTGAGCATTGTGTTACCATCGAGCGACTCCACTACATAACCAGAAGCCTTGCGGCCAAAGATCGAAACACTTCCTGAGCAGGTGGAAAGGGTGTAATTCATATAATCATACTTTTGTCCAAAGTGATCGAAGAATGTCGACTTGGCCAAGCTCCGGTTACTTTGGTCATCGACTACTGCATATGCACGAAGAGCTAGTTCACGTTTTCCTTCTGGATATATATTCACAAGCACTATCTTAACGCACGACTTGCTTGTTCCCTTGCAACTTCCACAAACTTGCATGCAATAGGAGTTCACTACCTCGCATGGCGGACTCTCCCCTCCGTGATTTGATACGGACGGCTTAATGTTGACATCCACATGTAATGCAGGTGGATGCTTACCAC